TTATATATATATATATATATATATATATATATATATATATATATATATATATATATATATATATATATATATATATATAAGTATACATAAATGTATACATCAACAGAATCCAGGTTTTTAATAGTAAGCCAGATACTGGGCGAATTGACATACTTACCACGTTTGGTTTGTTTACTTTCTTTGGCAAGTCGCTCATTGAGCTGGCGAACATTTTTGGAAAACACTGCAGAATCTGCACTATAAGCCGCAATCCTGTTGTCACAGTCAGATACAACCAGTGACACATTGCGCAGTAGTTTGTTTATCAGCAGCTCATCCATTGTGATCTTTGGTGACTGTGCATATTCATCTAACATCTGGGTTTGATGTAAATGCCTGAAAAGGACCGCTAATACTATTACAAATAAAAACAGTGGTACCCGTAAGTGGGCAGACTGTACGAACATAATTGTTAACACCTACCCACCAAATATCAGATGTGGGCGCGCTAGGATACCGTGAGAAGCAATGTGGTCGTAAGGTCTGTTTACACAAAATACTCTGACATAAGGACAGCCTCCAGAGTATACATGTATATCTGAATTGTATATCTGAATTGCAATAGCATTCAAGTGCTGCTGCCTCGTTTTGGAAGGCTGTGTGATGTATATGGTTTAAAGTAAATATAAATACGCATTCTAGTAGAAAGGAAAGCCACTCATTATATGTGGTAGCTCAGGCGGGCTTCAGCGTATACGTTGAACGTATACGTACGAAGTTTTGATATTTATACGTTATAACGTGGAAGAAAGGAAAAAGGTCTAAACCTCCGTACTGTGTGGAACACTATTATTAAATACATAGGAGTGATAGGACTATACGAGGTACAGTACTCTATATTTTGCACCCTCTTGTCCAACATACAGGAACGTTTAACGTATACGTAAAAAGTATTAATTTTTATTTATAGGCGTATTGAGGTTGTATATACATACGTTAACGTTTATCGTATACGTAAAGAGGTTAGCAGGGGGTTTTTTAGGGTTTAGGGTTTTAAATCGGAGGCTATGGACATCTGGTCCTCCGGATAAATATAAAATTTAACATGGCCCTAACGTCAGTAAGTTATACGTAGTGTGAATAAAAGTTGAACGTTAACCGTTATTTTTTTTTAATTATAGACGGTTTAACGTATAACTTTTTGACGTTAGCTCCGTCCTCTGGAGTCTGGATTGAGTCTCCGTGCAAAAGTTGCGTCTTCCTGGAGACAAAGTCATTGTCCGAGAGACTTTATATGAGGGAATTTTCGCCCCTGAGCCCTGGGCCTTAAGAGCTGGGGCCCTGTTGCCTCTAACAGGCTGACACTTGACACTGTGGCTAACTCTCTGACCAGACTGACCTTCGAAGATTCTCTGTCCTCTGATTTGAGTGATTGGCTGATTTCACGGTACATAACGCCGGCTTTTTTTTAAATCATACTTGCTCTGTAGCCAATAAAAACACGGACAGCGAAGTATGTATTGTAATATCAACCGTATTTATCTCTGATTTAAAACAATGCTGGTATTTTAAGTACCGAACTTTCGGGTAATGTTCCTGGGCGTTAATAAGAGTGTGAGAACTGCTAAGTGTGGGCGATGACATATAAGTTTGAAAACTAATAAGTTCGGAAAGTGCTAAGTTGTAAAGTGCGGTTCGTTGGCGAACGGCCGCGCAGGCTCGAAAGTAGAGGAGGTTGGTAGATGATTGGTACTTTGCAAACTGAAGTGCGGGGTAATATGAACTGGAGGTTGGCAGATTACGATGTGATTGGTGAATGTTGAATGGACTTGCAGGCTCGAAATCATGGGGATACACGCTATGATTGGTGAATGTTAAATGGACTTGCAGGCTCGAAATTGAGGAGATACACGATATAATTGGCGGCAAGATTCTCAAGAAATCCCTCGGAAATAGCATAATTACGAGGTACAGTTCATTCAAGAAGTTCATTCTGCTAAGGTAGTCGTTTATTCAACAATCAATAATTTCAATCGCTGCTTCTAGTCTACACCAATCCGGCTCTGTGCTATGATTGTAACGAACACGTAC